CTCTCTCTCTATATATATATATATATATATATATATATGGGCCCATTCAAAGAAGAACTGATTAGTTTGTTAAAATCGTGAGATCCAATGTGAACCGCTCGTTCAGATATTAAAGATATATTTAAAATAAGCTAAAAGAGTAATATAGTAATTCTATTTTTGACAACTAACAAAATATTTAATTAAATTTTTGAAAAGAAAATATTTAATTAAAATTAGTACCTAGTATATTAATTACCTAATATACATCGTATTTTAAAAACGATCGTGAATCAAAGTGTATCATAGTGATAATGTTCACAATGTTTCACATGTATCACAATGTATCTTCTTTATTTTATGAAATGTATCATAATGTTCATTTTTGTTATTTTCATTGATTTACAAATCGTATCACATTGTGCATCTTGTATGTATATCTGGGTATCACAGTGAATATCGTTTGTAGATATCACAGTGTGTATCTTGTATTCACAAAAGGTTTATCGGAATAAGGTTCGCCGAATAAGATTCGCTAGAGAGATGAGAAATGATATTTATAAAATCCCTAAAATGCCCTTAATTAATATTTTAAGTTAAAATTACCAAAAATATTAATTTCCTAATTTGACATTTGATTTGTGGTTGAGATTGGATCTCACGGTTATCACAAATAAAACAAGTCTCATTTGATTAGACTCATATACATATATCAAAATGGATCTTTTCAGTTTTATTGGATTTTGGGCCCTCATCCAAGAACCAATCGGTTGAAATTCTGAATCCGATCTTTTCGGTTTTAATGATCTATCGATTCTAATCGGATCGGATGAGCTTCTGCAAGACACATCTTTGACTAAATTTCAGCAAAGAAAGCCATGATCCGAAATGGGGGAACATTAATTCTTAAAAAGGTTCCATCATATAGGATTAGAGGGTGTTTGGGATTGCTTATAAAAACAACTTATTAACTTATTCCGATGTGACACCAGTAATAAGCACTTTTGAGTGTTTGGATAAACAACTTATACCGGTGTCAAACCGGTAATAAAGAGTTTTTAAAGAAGTTAAACCATTTTAACTTATAATAAGTTGATAATCACTTTTGTAGAAAAGCATAAGTTGTTTCAAATAACCAATCCCAAACACCCTAAGTGTACAAAGTATCTCAGTGCACATTCCCACAAAAACATCCCCAAATTTCAGCAAAGAAACCCATAACCACAGATTATAAGACACAGATTCTTAAAAAGATGTCATCTTTCAAACACAAAAGAAACCAGAAACGACTAGTCTCGTTTAACATACCTTAAAACAACTACAGAAAACAACCGATAACACCTATGACCACGGTCGTTTCATGGTATTCACAAAAGTACGATGCTACGGACTCCAAAATTGGTTAACAAAGTTGTTTTACTATACCTCTATCACTAGCATCGCAAAATATCCACACAAAACGGCCCTATGATCAAGATTCAACCTCAGCCACTGCGTATCCTGGATCATTTGGTAGATAATTTCGTACCCAAATCCCCATCAAGATTCAAGATCGTTGCACTGCATATTCTGGGAGCATTTGACAAAAGTGTGGATCTTTTCGTATCCAGACCTGTCTCCAACAGACCCCACCTCCTGTTCGTCATCATCACTGTCTATATTCTCAGGCATAATGCGGTTCTGGTAACTTCTTCGCCTAAGGACAAAGACATTGAAGTAATAACTCACCAATATGTCTTTTGTCTTGGAAGGAATTGACTCGGATGCTCTTCTCCAGAAATTGCTCATGATTTCATGTCTAGATTTGCTTCTATGTGTCAATTCTTGCCTTGCTTTGACTACCAAACTTTTGAATTTACTTTCCTCTTCTAGGCTCCAAGAAACCGAAGCTTCCTCCCCCATATGGTTGAATTTCCATTTATAGAAAAGGGGGCCGAGTGTGTGTTTGACTCTACTCCTGTTTTCAGCAATATGAAACCTCACACAATCCGCAGAGCCTGGAACGCTACACCTACATGAACTTTGTCTTCCTTTCCCGATCACTACAAGACCCTTTTCATGTTTTTGGTAATTGCCGTCTGGTGGGGGCCACATCCGAGTTCCTAGCCACTTAGGATCGCTCTCAGAGATGACACCTGTCCATTTGGGTACTTCAGCTCCTGTGGTGACACTAACTGTTTCTAGATCTTCAGAAATGCTATCTTCTATCTCCATAGACTCGAGGGTTTGCAGGGTCTTTTTGATGTCGGGCTTCTGACGTTTGTTTCTAGAGGATGAACAAGAAATGCAGCCTGGACAAGAGCATGATTTCACGGAACTGACCCTTTGGCTGCATCTTATTCTTTTGGAAGACAGATGAATCGGGACTTTATCGTCTTCATACATTGAAGGATGCATCATGTGTCTTTTCTTCTGCATTTTTCAAAAATTGTTTCATTAATTTATCAAATTACCATTCGAACACTACACAAATGATGTCTTTTGGAAAAAGAATCAAAACAGTAATTCTGTGGTGAGATTAGCAATAGTTTAGATTAAAAAATGCATCAAAATGCAACGAATTTGCTTTAATTCATGGTAAAAAAGAACTACAAATTTAGGGTATGCATCTTTGCTTCTGTCAAAGAACTATGCACGTAATTGTTTATAAGAAATCCGTTTTCTTTTGATATGGTTAATACAAGTTAAATAGCACATAAACCTTATATAAAGAGGTGCCAAAGAGATAAGGAAAAAACTTGTGCGAGACCTTGAAGCCGTACGAAACATACTAGGAAAGCGTAAGGGGCTGTTTGGTTGATTTTCCATTAAGTCATGTATGGATAAAGCTATCTGTGTAGAGTTATCTATCTTTATAGATTGGGAAGGTTTTTGTTTGGGAGGGTTTTTCATACATGGAAGGAGCTTGTTTTTTAACTGGGAGGGGCAAGTTGTGTATAGCTGACTGAATAAGCAGCGAGTCTCATTAAGCTGCTAACAAACAGGCCTTAAGTCATTGATCCACAAAAGGGTGAAAGAGTTGTTGGCTTTGCTATCAAGAAAATTGTAGAGCTCGCCGAATACAAACTTTCACCGTTATGATGATTGACAAATCAAGATTTGTGAAACCTTATAAGCATAACACACTTGATTTCTCAAAAGATGTTATGATTATGTCCAAAAGGATTAGAACTAAGATCATGCATAGCAACTATATCTAATTTAGTAATTTCAACCATCCCACATAAAAAAGTATGAAGAACAAAACATTCAAACAAAGATTTAAGCAGAAAGGGCATATTGGTATCATCATTTTTAAGCATGAGAATCGAATTTATACCTGCGAGCCATATACTTTGTTGACCGAATCAATATTTGGTTTTGTAAAAAGTCTCTCTTTTACCAACAAAACTTGCTTCCATACCTCATTGGTCTTATATTTCTTCCACTTTGAACTATTTGGTATGCTTCCGATCGAAACATCATGTGGATTTCTTGCAGCATTTGCTACCCATTTTAGCATTTTCAACAAGGATAAAGATTCCTCCTTTTTCCATTTCTGAGAACTAACTACCTTATCGACAGTAGTCTTGGCAAAAACCAAGGTACCATTCTCGTTATCACCTGTATCATTGCGTTCGTTATTGTCTGAATGAAAACTACGTACATTCGTAGGACATAACACAACTCTTTTGTCATTATCATCTTTCACTTCCTTAACGACAATTTCACGCGGTAACTCGATCATTTTGTGATTCAAATCACTAAGCTTTTCATCATTTTCATTGACATTATTGATTCTTGAAAACCTCATTTCAGTGTTAGCCATATCATGATCCAATTTTTCGGTTAATTCCAACGCACTTCTTTCGATCCCCACATCATCACTAGACTCTATAACAACACACTTCTCCTTAATGTTTTTGAATCCAACATTGGATAAAGAATTTTTACACCCCCTCAACTCGCGAAACAATGAATCTAACTTCTCAAGAACACCAAGCTCACCATTCTCCAATTTGGTATCTTTGAAACCTCCATGGCTTAACCACTGATCCAACTCTTTCAAATACTTGATATATATCACTTTCAAAGATCCCACATGTGTGATATCTAACCCACATTCCTCAGCAACAAATTCCCACAATTCATTCTTGGAAACCAACTCATAATCCCCTATCTTCCTCACCACCCAGAATAAAGTAAACAAATCAGCCTCCACCCCATCTCCAAGTTTAGGTGGAAACCCCTTTATTACATCCTTATTTACAGACACCCATTTCAAGAAATATGAAAGAACTTGATCAAACGAAGACCTCAAATCAGTCTTCATAAAGAACCCATCATTTCTACAAGCTTCAGGAACCTTAATCTTGCTCATATCTGATTCATTTTTCACTTCAGAAAAATGGTCCATGTTTTACATTCAAGATTCCTCCTCTCTTTTTCTTGTTGACACACAGAAAACACACAATGATTCAAATCTTTGGTCAACACTTGAGCAAAATCGGTCATCAAAATTGAATCTTGAATTGTTTCAGGCAACAAAACATGATGATACACCCATGAGCTCTGTGTAAGTTAAGATTTTACCTTTTGTACGACTTTTTGCACCCAGCCCTTCAGTTTTTTTCTTTTATCTCCTACAAAGAAGTCAACAAAAATCGAAAAGGGGAGTGATAAGCAAAAGGGGATTTATGAAATTAGGGGTTTGATCGATACATTTTGTGGGCAAAAGGATTAAAGAGTGTAGAGGGGGGATAGACAAGTGCCAGAACGAGAAAGAGCCATGTAAACATTCTTGGAAAAAATGAAAAAAAGGGATGTGAAATCTGTCAACAACACAATAAATTTGGGGATTTAATTTAGAAACTAACTAAAGATTTGCATTGATTAATTAAGTAGAATAGAGACTCACCGGGGCAACTCGGTTCATGGAGAATTGTGAAAAATAGATTTTCACTAGTAATTCGAGTCCAAGTGAAACTGTGAAACCAACCCTAAATCAGGGAGAAAGTATGCGAAGAGAGAGAATCATGGGTTTGTTTGTGTACAGACTACAGATTAGTGGTGATGTGGTGTGCACAAAACACCCCACGTTTATTCCTTTTTATAAAACCTAGTCCAAGGGTAATTCAGTCATTTACTATGTTTTATAACATTGTTTGAGTTGAAGGTATAAAAGTTGGCAAAAGAAGGAAATCCTGATTGGTTTTCCTTTTAAGTTTTATATGAATAAAATTGTAGGTATGAATTAATTTGTTTATATAGATCGGAGAAAATTTTGTTTGGCAAAGGGTTTTTTTTTTTAATAGATAGAGGGAATGTGTTTTTCAATTGGGAGGTGGTTCGGAAAAAATCTTGTTTTTCTACATAAAGTTTCTTCTTAAAAGTTGACTGAATAAGTCACTTTATATATCATTAAGTCACTACTAAACAATCATGTATAGTTAACCGAATAAGTTGTGAGTGACATTAAGCTCATTAAGTTGCTAACAGACGGACCTTAAGTTTGATTCATTTACATAAGAACACTGAAATTTAAATTGTTTGCCTTTAAAATCTAATATCATACATGATACAATACGTTTGTGCTATAAAGATACGAGGCTAGTGATTTGAGGGAGGATCAAATGATAACATGATCAAAATAAAAAAACATGATAACGGTCAAATTTCTGTGATTTTACAATCACATGCAATTATGGGACACAGTCAACACATGGGTGTACGGATGATGGGTCGCCAACAAAGGAGCATAGAACATGTGATTAGACCATTTTCTGTTTATTTAGTAATCATTCTCGTTTGATAAAAAAAACATAATGAAAGTATCATCAGAGTTTTCACGACAAACATTCACGCAATAGAAAAGTACTTTCATGTTCTCACCGAAATCCAAATCATTTGATGTATAACCATTTTTCGCGTCCTTTGTGATATATGTTGTCATACAAAAGACGACAACAATATACAAATTGAGATCCAACACATGAATCAATTCTGTCGAAGTTTCTATAATTAGCATAAAGGCCAAAGTCAAGACTCTAACTCTACAAAAAGAACACCATCTGTAACATCAATCATCATGACCCTCCACAACCTCCCATTTTTTAACTTCATCAATCACATATGAATACACCCACAACCCTACAAAGTTCACATATGAATACATTCACAATGTCAATTTCGAGAATCATGCATGCTGATGATCCTGAAGAACCCACACCAGAAGAACGTCAGATTTTGATTCCTATATGCTTCATCGTGCATTCGGCTTACTTCTTTCAAGTTCGTATTTCGTATTCGTATAACAGACTAGTCATCAAACGGGAACTCGACTTCCATTTCCTGGACCAAAGATAACCCGAAGTTAGTAGGAATGAAAACAATAATAACCCGAAATTAGTAAGAAGATAACCTGAAATTAGGCAAACCTGATCGCACACGGGGCAAGTATCACTTCTTTCCATCCATTCAAGAATGCATGACAGGTGAAAATGATGTTCACATTTGGTGATTATTTTTGGATTTTCTTCATCATATTCTGTAGAGTAGAAAAGGGTTAAGCGACTCCATCATCTCAAGCAATAGAATTGTTTCATTTATACTAGTGAAATGGAACAAAAAGTAAGCCTAACCACACAATGCTCGACACTGACTGGTCCTTTGGTTAAACGACCTTCCGACAAGTATTCTTATGACTTTTTGACAGGTTTGAGAATGTCACTGCTTCACAGAAGAATGACACTTCCCTACACAAGAATGCCTAAAAACCCGTCAGAAGGTCATGGGTTTAAAAAACGCTTGTCAATAGGTCATTTAGCTAAATAACCCCAAGGGCCTGTTTGTTAGTAGCTTAACGAGCTTAATGGGAGTCACAGCTTATTTGGTTAGCTATACATAATTGTATGGTAATGGATTAATGATATAGAAAAGGGCTTATTCAGTAAGCTTCTAAGGGGAAGCTTTATGTAGAAAGTCAAGTTTTTTCCAAACTTGTCCCTCCCAATTAAAAAATCAGGCTCCTTCCATCTATGAAAAAAATCTACCAAACAAAAATATTTTCAATCCATACAGACAAATTAATCCACATAGACAGCTTTATCCATACCTCTAACCTTAATGGATAAAACCAACCAAACAGCCCCCAAGACTCACTAACCTTCAAGACAGGTGGGACACTCCTCTGGAGCTACGAAAGGTGCACTTGACTTCTTGAGTTCGCCAGAATTCTCAAGCTCGGTATCAACTTCTTTTGGTGCAACAAGTTCAATTTTGGTTCCCTCTTCGCCATTGGATTTCATGGCTTCGTGAGCACCATTTTCCCCACTAATCTTTATTTCTCCGACAGGATCAGAATTATTTGCTTGCACATGTGCACCACACTTATTGGCAGAGCCTTCTCGACTGTTAAGTGGACTTTGAGGATTGCCAACATTTGCATCATACGGTAGAGGTGCAGGTGGGTACCTGTAAGTGTCTGGTATACTAGTATCCAGATTTGTATCAACTAAAAGCCCTGTAGGGAAAGGCTGTCGTTCCTCTGATACTGCTGGATACTACAAAAATGGAAAATTCAGTATGGAATTGGTTAAACTGAGAAAAAAATCTAAGCAGATGATTGAATGACACTCGTAATAGAAGAGACACAGAATAACAAATAAGGATGCCAAGTAGAGGAACTTCTCGTGGTTGAAAGCGCCATAAAAATACTTTAGGCATCTCGTTTTTCTTTTTTTATTCACATGCGAATATCAATGGAACTTACTTATAAGATCCCCAAGTTGAGTAGTTATGTGGATAACTAATGTCATATTATGCAGCATGCATTGAATTGTGCTAGGCGTCTCCTTTATTTATTCACATGTGAATATCAATGAAACTTGCTTATAAGATTCCCAAGTTGAGTATTGAATAACATATTATGCAGCATGCATTGAATTGTGCTATTAGGAAAAATGTCAAGCTTCAAATGGCACAAAAAAGCCATTAGTGTGGCAGCACCCAAAAAAATTGAATAGCAAGGACCGAGGTACAACATAAAAGAATTCACTAACATGATGCAATCGGGATTGCTCGTTCCATTCTACTCGGTTTGAAGAACAGCAGCAGCAGCCTCCCATTTTTTCTCACTTTTGTATTTTATAAAGCTATATACAATGGTCTCATCGCTTTCTGTTCTCTAGCAAAGGAAAACATGTATCATAAGCAGAAGTCGAGAAATCCCATGAAAGCAAAGGTCACATAGACAAAATTGCATGAAACAAGAAGAATGACCATGAAATCAACTATGATATCAAGATTCAAGAACAAAATAGCAAGCAGAATCAGAAAATTACTTGGCCTAAACCATCTTACAAACATATAACTGTATCAAAAGAGAAAAGAATGACATTGGCACCAACCCTCCCTTTGTGTTGTGAGTAGTGAGAGCGAACTTATTATATAGTCTTCGAATAGCATTGTGCAAAGATGTGTTGACTTGGGAGACATGACCTTCTGAAGATAGAGGATTAACCGTGCTGGTTGCTCCGAGGCTCGCCCTTTATTTTGCAAAAGAAAATATAACTATAATACTTTATAGGGTACCATCTTAAAAACCGCAAGGCCAAGCTATTTCAAATTCTTGAACAGTTGCAAGAAAAGAGGAAAAAGATCAAGTGAAAAGCAAGAGTACATAAAATCTAAATCAGCAAAGGTTCATGAAGAGTTGCATTACTTTAAGGCCTGTTTTTTAGCAGCATAATGAGCTTAATGAGACTTGGGGGTTATTTGGTTGGTTTCCCATAAGTTATGTATGCATAGATTGGGGAAAAAAATTGGAGGGTTTTTTATAGATGAAAGGAGCGTGTTTTTTCTTGGGAGGGAGAAGTTTGCAAAAAGTTGGTTTTCTGCATAAATCTCTATCTTAAAAGCTTACTGAATAAGCCACTTTTTATATCATTAATCCACTATCAAACAATCATGTATAGCTGACCGAACAAGCTATGTCTTGTTAAGCTTGTTAAGTTGTTAACAAACAAGCCCTTACAGTTTATTCATGACTGTTTGATAATGACTTAATGATATAGAAAGTGACTTATTCACTATGTTTCTAGGGGGAGCTTTCTCAACTTTATGCAGAAAATCAAGTTTTTTCCAAACTTGCTCATCCCAGTTAAAAAGAAACACCCTCTTTCCATCTATGAAAAAACCTTTCAAACAAAAATATTTCCAATCTATACAAACAGATTCCTACACAAATAATTTTATCTATACAGGATTAACGGAAAACTAACCAAACCAAGCTTAGTCCTCAAAGCATAACAAAGATCATGAAAGTGGAAACATAAAAAACAAAATTATATTATGCAGGAAAATTTCAAGATGAGGATTCAAACTGTTAAGCTATCAATTATCAAATCGACACCCGATTCGATTTATCATCTATTAGTTTCAGTTCAGTTAGCTTCACAAAACATGATCATTGGAATCGACAGAGGTCAACCACAATACATACCAACTCAATGCAAAATCGTAAACCCTTCACAATAATATACCATATAAACACAACCAATCATCAAAACCAAACACAAACCCTAAAATAAATTCAGTGCTGCAATCAAACAAAGCAACCACTAGCTCAAAATCAAATCATATCCTCTATTACACCATGAAACTTCAAAAACAAATCGAGGTCCCAAATTGAAGAACGTCAAAACACATAGAGTAAAAAACTTCATAAATCATATGGTTTCGTACCTTGAGAGATTGAATTGGGTTGTTTGGAGATTGAATGGAGGCGTGTAGTTTCGGTACAGCGAGAGAGACGAATGGTGGTGATCAACGACTTTTGTTGAATTTGAAAAAATAAAATTAAATACAAAAATCAGGGGGAAAAAATAATATTTTATTTGGGAGTTTTAGAGAGAGTAAGTTACGTTTTTAGTCCCTACGGATTCAAGATTTTACATTTCGTACTTTTAAAATAAATTAAAGGCTTCTAAAGTCATTTGATGTGTTTTTAGTATAATTTCATCGTTCTTAAAGGATATTTTTGTCTTTTTTACGATTTTAAAAGATTTTTTTCAATGTTTTTGATTAATTTCAAAATATTTTTTGGTTTTTTATTAAAAAATAATAATAAATAACTAAAAACCACAGGGATTAAAATCATAATTTACTCTTTAAAGAGTATAGATACGTGGATGCCCATCGTATGTGGTGGTGACACGTGTAAAATTCTCTCGATAGGAGAAAAATCAAAGCTAGGTTGGTGACGGACTTTTAACAAACTCAATATCCACGCGCTTCTGTGGGTCCCACCTTGTGCTTGGTTTTCATCTTTTAAATAAGTTTTTATTTTTAGAATAAATTATAAATATAGGTTTTTTTTTTATTAATCTCGTATTTAGATCGAATTTAAAAGGAAAACTCTTCAATAAATAGAATATTAAGAAATACTCTAATAATCATTCATCTACTATAATATATACATATTTATATAAGTAATTGAAGATATTTATGATTTTTATACACATGTGCATGTTGCATACATGTACATAGAAGGGTTGTTTGTTTACCTTTTAAAAGTTTCATTAAGAGTCAACCTCTGAATCCTTAAGAGGTGAATCTTCTTTGACAAAAAAAAATTCGTCTCTTAATGATTCTAAAACCCTCAGAATGATTTTGTATCATGGACCTTTCTAAACCATTAAGCGTCATAATTTCATTGTAAACAATTATATTTCATTTTGCACTATATCATGAAAGCCTCTTAATCATTCTGACCACTTAATTATTCTGCATCAAACCATTCAGCAACTACCAAACAACCCCAGAGAAAAAAATTACTTGTATGTACATGTACATATTGTACATATAAATTTGTACTATAATGTTCCTTAGTTTTCATTTTTTTTACAGTTTTATTCTGAATGTGACCGTTGATTTACTAAATTTCATTTATTACATAGAATATTTGAAGATATGTACTTTTTTTACGGTTTGTTCTATAGATCAAACGAACATCCATGTTATCTGTTAACTCAACATAATCTCGTATTTCAATTTATAATTTTTTTAAAGGTGTTTGGTTAAATATATCAAGCAATAATTGATAAAATTGAAAATAAAAGAAACTGTTTGGTTTTACAATGTAATGAGCTCATTCATCACTAACCCAGTGAAATGAAATTCATTTCTGTTTTTATTTCATATCAATTTCATTTGCATTTCCATTTTTATTCCTCTATATGAACCAAAACGTCATTGTTCTTTCAAATTTTGTACTGGTCACATTAACATCTGAAATCAATTTACATATAATTTTATATTCTTTATAACTGCTGTAAATTTTTATATTTTTACATTTAATCATAGAGTAAGGGGCCGTTTACTAAACGTTTACCCGGTAAGTACTTACTGAGCAATTTTCTTTACCGAATGAATATGACAAGAGCAAAGAATCTTACCTGGTAAGAGCGATGATAAGGATGAAGAGTCTTACCCGGTAAGTGAGGGTGACGACTCTTACCCGGGTAAGCGCTTACCAGGTAAATCGTTGTATAAGATAGGTTTTGATGTACTACAATCTTACCCGATAAAGTAAATTATAGTGTTGACTCTTAATATTAAGCGTTTTTTCGGGTAAACATTTAAGTAAACGGCCCTAAATTAAATTTCTCGTTTCTATAGTTTGTTAATGTTTTACAACTTATATCTCTGTAGTTTTGAAATAGCGGTTCACGTCTCAGTAGCTTGCAACTTATTGTTATTCTCGTTCCTAAGACTAATTCCTATCTTTAAGCATGGGAACGAAGAACAACAATGACTTGTAAATTTTAAGGATGAAAACAAAAATAAGTTGTAAAGATTCATTTTCATACGTATACAACAATTGTAGCCACTGAGTTTATCAGGGTTGATTTGTTGCAGTCACAATCTGCTAAAATTATTTAAAGCATAGTTTAGGACCCTTTAAAAAAAACAATAAATTATAAACTATAAGAATAAAAATTATAATCCAAAAATACAAAGACAAAAATATCAATTTTAAGGAGCATTAGAAGTGTACTCGCGCAATGCAGCGAGATACATCATCAGTTTAATATTTCATTTTATTTTTTATCTCAGCTGATGTTATAATATGATTTTGTGTTATTTTGAGAAAACGATGATGTTTTTATTTTTGAATAAAATACATGTTTGAAGATACCATAAAAATTTGACAAAAATATATCGATATTAGTATCAAATTAACTATTTGAAATTCCTCATTTTTTTGTGTAATTTTTTAATTAAAATTTTTATAATTTAATTTATGTACAATAACGAAGTAATTTTGTATTTGGTTTAACAATATAATTTTTTTATAAAGATAATAATTATTTATTTTGTTGAAACTCGATAATTATTCTAATTATATTTTAGATTTTTTATATTTTAAAATGAGATGTTCATTCTCTATTTGATTATGTTTATCCGTAGTTATTTATTCGAATTAAAAAATCGAGCTTTAATAAGTTGTACTTATGCATAATTACTTGTAATCTTGAATTTTAAGCAATATGCATCAATATACAATACTTTATGCATAACAAAAATATATCGATATTCATATCAAATTAACTATTTGAAATTTCTCATTTTTTGTGTAATTTTTTAATTCAATTTTTTATTATAATTTAATTTAGGTACAATAACGAAGTAATTTATATTTGGTTTAATAACATAATTTTCTTATAAATATAATAATTAATTATTTTGTT